CTTAAGAACTGGTACTTCTTGGAGCAGACCAGTTTGGTCTGCCTTAATGCAGGCAAGTTAACACCACATTATCAAATGCACTGAGGTCACCAACCTCCATCAGATGATCTGCTTGATCCTTTTCAGACAAAAAAAAGAGAAAAAGAAAAAAGCTTGGATTCCTTGCAGAAATCTGAGTGCTCCAAGCTGGAAGCAGTAGGCTCGGCCACTCACAGCCCACCCACCTACAGATCAAGATGGACTGGAACAACCTCCTCCATGAGCCAGAAAAGCGAAGGGGGCTGGGAGGTGGGAGGAAGAGTTTCATATTTCATCTACCACTTTTAATAGAAAACAGAACATGGGGGGTGGGGGGTGGGGGTGGGCAGAGGGGAGGAGGGTGTTGAAAGGAAAATGGCAAATCCCTGGAGATCCTAAGTGCTGGCCTTGCAAGCCAAAACTGTCAATCATACCATGTCCCCTCCAAATCGTACTTCTTGAAGGGAAGAAAGGAGGCAATGGACTGGCACGTTTAGCCACTAGGTGTTACTCTTGCTCCACAGAATGTGATCAGAGCAACCACTTCAGAATAAGCAAGACATCTATCAGAGACATCATCTGCAGCTGTACCTTAAGATTTAAACCGTAGAAACTAAATCCTACTTCTGGACTCAAAAATGAGAGCACTTTGGTGTGTTTTCTTGGGGGGGTCATGGAGGTAGACTGCTGCTCCTTGTGTTCTGTTTATACGTCACTGCATAAATAGAGCAAGTCAAATTCATCCCTTTGGAACTTCCACTGACTTTGATGAAGGTACATAGGGAGAATTGGGCCGCTAAAGATGTCACTGAGATCATGCCCACTGGTCAGGAAAATACACTGGCCACTGAGTTGTCTGCCTCCCTATCTCCTCTGTGCCTGGCCACAGCCTGCACTGACACTTAGAGGCATTTTAATTAATCCTAGATCAGCTGTCAGCCAGGTGGGTTCTGCAGGCAAATCATTTAACCTTTCTCTGCTTTTGTTTCTCCATCTATAAAATGGAAATAATGGTTCTCGTCTCCTCTGGGAAGGACTTTCAGACCACAGATAAATCAGAGCTGTAGTCCTTGACGATCAGTTGGCATGAACCAAGCAACAGGTTTTGTGTGAGCTTTTCCTATTGATTCCAGAATAGGTTTTCTAAGAAAGACTGAATTCAGTGCTTACCCCTCCTTAGTAGCTGATTTTAAGTGAAACAGGCTCATGATAAAGAGCAGTGCTCTACTGCACCCCTGTCATCGCACCTTAATGTCCTGTTTCTGTTTGGTCCTTTTTCATAGCTCTACCAAAACTTTATCCAGAGGACAGCACACTTCATCCAAACCTTCAGCATTTACTTAATCAGCTAGGCTTTAAAGCTCAGAGACACATCCCTTCCCTGAGCTTCTTAAGCAACAAGCTTTGAGTCTCCAGCAATATTGATTTTCTCCTTCATTTTTAATAACAGCCTCCAGTGCACAAAAATAGGTGTTTCCCCCTTTCAATTCTTGTATTCTATGCCTTGCCCCCAAATGAGCCAGTATAAATAAATGGATGTAATGCAGGTCTCTGCCTGTGCCCACTGGAAAGCTGTTTCTGCACAGACACAATAAATGTCATGCAACGCATGACAAACAGGCAGAGCATTCATTCTCATGGTAAGTCTTGCCATGTGGTTGTACTTCTAACCAAGGCATTATTTTCGCATACAACTCTATTTGAGTGCTCTAGGGTATGTTTTCCAAAGTTTGGAAACATTGTTACAGTACATTAAATGAAGTACCACTACTGAGCCACAAAATCTTATGAAAGATCTTTTTGAGTTGTTTTCATAGGAAAATTTTCATGTGCCATACTAAATGAAATACAATGCAAACTTAAAATACTGTTTTCCAAAAGACTGAATGATTTGCAAGTGCTAAGGCATTATCTGAAAGGTGACTGGCGCTACATTTTACTGCTGCTTCCAGTAAAACCTTTGGGCCTCTAACTTGGAGGCAAAGTCCTCTTATCTGCAATTCAGGCAACAAGCACCACATGCCTTAATACCACAATCAATGTGTCTCATAGTTTGAGTTCTCATAGACATTTCTAGAGAGAAGAACAGTTTTAATGAAATATTATTGATAGCCTGAAATTGCCTTTGGCTTTTGAAGGAAGAAGGAGGATCTGTCCATGGAGAATCACCTGGAGATGATAACTTCTGCTTGCTACCAAAACATTATGGTGGAAAAACAGCCATCTAATAAACACGAGACTTATAGACCATTACCAATATTGTCTGGAAGTAGTTCACTTACTGCTGGAGTTTTCCCCCTGCTGCAGTCTAACAAGGAGTTTTGAAGTGAAACAAAATGACCTTGCTGATTCGTACACGTGTACTCTCAGCAAACAATACATCAGTAACTAACATAACTTTACCCACAGGCCTAAGGCAGATGTTGATAACATCAAATGTACTTGACTTAGATGCCTTTGAAAATGTCACCCTAAGTGGCTTGGAAGCTTACTTCCCACTTTCTAAAGTGACTTCAAACCCTAAATCACACGGATAAATCCAAAAATTGCAGCCTTAGTCAGTTGTGCTCTCCTTACTCCTCGGTGGGTAATATAAACACACAAAGACCCTATCTGACACTTCATCTAAAAATTAATCCTAATCGCTTTCTGGGCAGCTGCACAAACAGCCAGTTTTACCCAGTTTCAGTTACCTCTTACTCTTCTCCCCCCTGCCCCTTCTGTGCTGCTGTCCACAACAGGACCCTTTATAACACATTCCTCTTTGTGTGCTAGTGGCAGCTAATAACACGTGCCAGCTAATAAGAGAGGCTGTCCTAATTTCTTCTCTCTGGGTCATCCTTTCTTGTCTTTTCTTTGGAAGTTAGTAGGTCTAAAATGTGGAAAACCACCTAGCTACAGAAAGGGTTAACTACAAGTTGTCCCAGTTCATTGTGAATTTGGTCCTGAATCACACGTGGATCTTCACAAACAGAAAATACACATCCAGTCTGCTACAGCAGAATCAAATTCAGTGCTAGGTGCAACTATGGTTTTTTCATTGTCTTTGTCCCACCAACCTGAAAACAAAGGGTTTTCCAAAGTTTAAAGTACTGCACAGATGGTGGGATGCCACTGCCACATTGAACCATCCTAAACTATCCCTATGTGAGGAGTGAAACAGCAGATAAGTCTGCAGTGTGATAGGATAGACTCCACCCGCTCAGTGAGAGCAGAGCAATTCTGGTTCACATTTATTAGTAGCACTGGTAAAAAACATTTACATTATGGTAGCGCCTAGAGGCCCTATTTGAAATCTTGTCTAAAACTGCTATTGTACCTGGGCACTAAACAGCTCTGAAGCCGCACATCTGTCTGCCAGATGTTTTTTTTTCTTAGAAGCTGCAATTTAAAAAAGCCTCTTGCCTTCCCCTAACAAACCTTAATAAGAAACTTCAAGAGCTTGCTTCATCATCCATTTGAGGAGAGCCTGCAGTTAAAGTCGCAATGAAGAAGGCATCGACAGCTCTTCTCCAGCTAGTGAGGGAGACCAGAGTGGCGCATGAGCACTGTGTGACTTTTAAGTGTGTTTAGTACCCGACTCTTGCTTTGCGGAGGACAGAAAGGCCAAGGCGACATCAGATCCGCTGCCGGCCCCGCCCGACGGACACACAGGCTGGGGTCCCCTCAGGGCGCGCTGGCTGGGGTTTAACGCCGTACAGGCGCTGCAAAACCCACTGCGGGCAGCGTGCGGGA